CTCAAAGTATCAAAAGAGCTTCAGAGCAAAGTCCAGGAGTACGCATGCGTGTAATAGGCGTGGAAGTATGGCATTAAGAAAAGAAAGGACCAAAGGCGAAAAGGATAAGATAAATAATGAAACAAACAGCTAGAAGTAAATTTCTTGAGCAGAAATGTCGATGGCTTAGCTATTTTCACATTTACTTCTTGAAAGAAACCGATTTGAGACTTCAATATTCTAATTATGCTGTTCTAAGCCTGCCATAGGGCTTTCATTACGTACATCACTATTTTACACCACATACTCATATACGTGACGAAAGCTTTCTCAAAAAATAATCAAAATCTAAGTATAAAAAAATCAAAAGCCAAGTTTAAATAGAGAAAAAGTGATGTAATGAAAATGAGATGCAAGTAGGAACAGACTCACCCTGCAAGTGACATGAGCCGTTCGGCCTTGCTCTACAGATTTAAGCGTGGGATGAGCATCTATTATGGGAAATCCGGATGGGAGTTCCGCTGAAAAGATGCATCCTTTTTCAAATAGGGTTTATTCACAGAAAATTTGGTTGCTCTTACAACATATGAAACAGCGATAAAGCAGCAAAAACAGAAATTAAAACGTGTAATAAGGATAGAAAGGAATTTAAAACGTGTAATAAGGATTGAATTCTTCTAGAGATTAATAAAAGTGAAAGGTGTCCACGAACATAATAATGGAAGTGTTTTGGGAGAAAAAAATGAGAAAATGGCAGGTATTAAATAAAGTAGGACCTACCCTTGTCTATAACTGTTACAACAGCATCTGCCACTACTGGATTGGCTACTCCATTATCTGCCGAGCAAGATATTGTCGTTTGATTATCAGATGAAAGAACTGGATCGATTCGAAGAGTGGAAAGACCGGTGGACAGCGACTTCACCACGAATCTGAAATTGGGATTACTCAGAAAACCGATTTTAGGACTTCAACAGTGAAGTAGTTCAGGACTTATATAGAAAGCTTATGGACGAACTAGTAGAAACTCGTACAAATTAAAATATTCAGTAAAGAATTGGAGTCTATTGCGCTTTGCTTTTGTTAAATTATTTAAAAGCACACTCATTACCTGTTTTCTCCTCTTCACTCATGCATAGTTTCCAAATGAATTGTTATATATTAATTTAATCAGT